TTCTATGACCATTGTGTATTCAGTGTACAGTTACTAATTATTATCATGTATCTTGTCTTCAGCAATGTACGTATAATGAAACATAAAAGCATATTTTGTAAGGTTTTGTTGATTTTCCTAGTCCTACAGTATAATTTCTTATTTTTTAATGATCTGCATATACTGTACCTTTTGAGTTTTATCCTTGGTCTCCTTATACTCATACAAGCCAATGTAGCTGTTAAAAAAACTATTTTTCATTTTTAAAAATGTGACTTTAGGCAAAGTAGTTATTGATTAGATTTAATACATATACAGTGTAACTATTATTTTACATGCCACAAGACTTGCAGTTCTGTATAGACAGACTTGTACACTGGTACTATACCAGGCCCCCTAGTGCTCTCCCACAGCCTCCGCCCCCCAAGCCCTCTGATCCCCCCTGCCCCTAGTGCTCTCTGGACCCCCCTCCCTCCTCCTAGTGCTTATTAGCTGGCTCCTAGATTCAAAGCAAAGTTAGACCCGGGTCTAACATAAATTTTTTATATTATATACTTTACTATATATATATATATATATATATAGAGGTGAAACTCGAAAAATTTGCATACCGTGCAAAAGTTCATTTATTTCAGTAATGCAACTTCAAAGGTGAAACTAATATATGAGATAGACTCATTACATGCCAAGCAAGATAGTTCAAGCCGTGATTTGTCATAATTGTGATGATTATGGCTTACAGCTCTTGAAAACCCCAAATCCACAATCTCAGAAAATTTGAATATTACATGTAATCAATAAAACAAGGATTGTACATAGAACAATATCGGACCTCTGAAAAGTATAAGCATGCATATGTACTCAGTACTTGGTTTGGGCCCCTTCTGCAGCAATTACTGCCTCAATGCGGCGTGGCATGGAAGCTATCAGCCTGTGGCACTGCTGAGGTGTTATGGAAGACCAGGATGCTTCAATAGCTGCTTTTGGCAGTGTGGGCAGGTGCCACGTCCTGCTGGAAAATGAAGTCAGCATCCCCATAAAGCTCGTCTGCGGAATGAAGCATGAAGTGCTCCAAAATCTCCTGGTAAATGGCTGCGTTGACCCTGGACTTAATGAAGCACAGTGGACCAACACCAGCAGATGACATGGCTCCCCAAATCAACACAGACTGTGGAAACTTCACACTGGACTTCAAGCATCTTGCAGTGTGTGCCTCTCCATTCTTCCTCCATACTCTGGGTCCTTAGTTTCCAAATGAGATGCAAAAGTTGCTCTCATCAGAAAAGAGGACTTTGGACCACTGAGCAACAGACCAGGTCTTTTTTCTTTAGCCCAGGTAAGACTCTTCTGACTTTTGTTGTTCAGGAGCGGCTTGACAAGAGGAATACAACATTTGAAGCCCATGTCCAGGATCTGTCTGTGTGTGGTGGCTCTTGATGCACTGACTCCAGCCTCAGTCCACTCCTTGTGAAAGTCCCCAACACTTTTTTGAATGGCCTTTTCCTGACAATCCTCTCCAGGCTGCGGTCATCCCTGCTTCCCTGCTGCTTGTGCACCTTTTTCTTCCACACTTTTCCCTTCCACATAACTTTCTATTAATGTGCTTTGATACAGCAGTTTGGGAACATCCAACTTCTTTTGCAATTACCTTTTGAGGCTTTCCCTCCTTATGGAGGGTGTCAATGATGGTTTTCTGCACAACTGTCAGGTCAGCAGTCTTTCCCATGATTGTGATTCCTACTGAACCAGATTGAGAGACCATTTAAAGGCTCAGCAACCCTTTGCAGGTGTTATGGCTTAATTAGCTGATTAGAGTGGGACACTTTGAGCCTAGAATATTTGCACCTTTTCACAATATTCTAATTTTCTGAGATTGTGGATTTGGGGTTTTCATAAGCTGTAAGCCATAATCATCACAATTATGACAAATCACAGCTTGAATTATCTTGCTTTGCATGTAATGAGTCTATCTTATATATTAGTTTCACCTTTTAAGTTGCGTTACTGAAATAAATGAACTTTTGCACAATATTCTAATTTTTCGAGTTTCACCTGTGTGTATATATATATATATATATATATATATATATATATATATATATATATAGTGGGGCAAAAAAGTATTTAGTCAGCCACCAATTGTGCAAGTTCTCCCACTTAAAAAGATGAGAGTGGCCTGTAATTGGCATCATAGGTAGACCTCAACTATGAGAGACAAAATGAGAAAACAAATCCAGACAATCACATTGGCTGATTTGGAAAGAATTTATTTGCAAATTATGGTGGAAAATAAGTATTTGGTCACTTACAAACAAGCAAGATTTCTGGCTCTCACAGACCTGTACCTTCTTCAAGAGGCTCCTCTGTCCTGCACTCATTACCTGTATCAATGGCACCTGTTTAAACTTGTTATCAGTAAAAAAGACACCTGTCCACAACCTCAAACAGTCACACTCCAAACTCCACTATGGTGAAGACAAAAGAGCTGCCGAAGGACACCAGAAACAAAATTGTAGACCTGCACCAGGCTGGGAAGACTGAATCTGCAATAGGCAAGCAGCTTGGTGTGAACAAATCAACTGTGGGAGCAATAATTCAAAAATGGAAGACATACAAGACTACTGATAATCTCCCTCGATCTGGGGCTCCACGCAAGATCTCACCCCATGGGGTCAAAATGATCACAAGAACAGTGAGCAAAAATCCCAGGACCACACGGGGGGAACTAGTGAATGACCTGCAGAGAGCTGGGACCAACGTAACAAAGGCAACCATTAGTAACACACTACGCCGCCAGGGACTCAGATCCTGCAGTGCCAGAGGTGTCCCCCTGCTTAAGCCAGTACATGTCCGGGCCCGTCTGAAGTTTGCTAGAGAGCATGTGGATGATCCAGAAGAGGATTGGGAGAATGTCATATGGTCAGATGATACCAAAATAGAACTATTTGGTTGAAACACAACTTGTCGTGTTTGGAGGAGAGAGAATGCTGAGTTGCATCCAAAGAACACCATACCTACTGTGAAGCATGGGGGCGGCAACATCATGCTTTGGGGCTGTTTCTCTGCAAAGGGACCAGGACGACTGATCCATGTACAGGACAGAATGAATGGGGCATGTGTCATGAGATTTTGAGTGCAAACCTCCTTCCATCAGCAAGGGCATTGAAGATGAAACGTGGCTGGAAAATAGAAATAGAAAGACAAACTGGGGTGATGGTTTCCCGTGACACAATACGGCGTACACAGGCAGAGGAATGGCATGCATGGGTGTCATCCATGAAGGAAGCCTCTCCTAAAGCACATGCACAAAAAAGCCCACCTAGAATTTGCCAGGGCCCATGCTGAAAAAGAAAAAGACTACCGGGACTCTGTACTCTGGAGTGACGAGACCAAGATAAATATTTTTTAAACTGGTGGCTTCCAAACTGTATGTCATCACAAAGGTGAGGAGTACAAAGAAAAATGCATGGTGCCTATTGTGAAACGTGGTAATGTCCTTCTGTGGGGCTGCATGAATGCTGCTGGTGTCGGGGAGCTGCATTTCATTTATGGTATCATGAATTCACAGATTTACTGTTCTATATTGAAAGAGATGATGTAATCATCACTCCGTGTCCTTGGTCGTCGTGCACTTTTCCAGCATGACAATGATCCAAAACACACATCAACACAAAAGAACAGGGTGAAAGTGATTCAGTGGCCAAGTATGTCTCCTGATCTGAACCCAATCAAACACCTACAGGGAATTCTGAAGAGACAAGTTGAGCATCACTATCAATCCAGCATCCAGGCTCTAAAAGAGGTCATTCTTGAAGAATGGAAAAAGATAGATGTTGCAATATGTTGCCAACTTGTTCATTCCATGCCAAGAAGACTTTTTGTTGTGGGGGTGTATTCATTTTTGCATCAAGTAATTTGAGTAAAACTGAAGATTTTCTAATCCAAGTTATATTATTAACCTTACCTTCATATAATGAGCTAAGAAATGCTCTATAAAACTCAGTTTTGTCAAAATTTTGGATATTGTTATTGTGTTCATTGAGGTATTGATTCAAATCTTACTTTTCAAAAGGGGTGTACTCATTTATGCTGATCACTATATATATACATATATATGTGTGTGTGTGTGTATATATGCATTTTGCTTGTATTTTTGTACATCACTGCATTACTTTGTCCATCACTGCCCTTTCTAAAATTAAATCAGTGTTAGCTTGACATTCAAGAATCATTCACTCATCGTGCTTCACTCTCTCAATCAACATTACGCTATTTTTAATCCTTATGCTGCTAGCATTAGTAAATAGATAGAAAAACATATCATATTTTCTTGCTTTAAACTTTTCTCACATTTTTTAGTTACTTCCTGGTTCCCAGTTTTAGACATATAATGGCATACATCTTGGGAGTCTATACACACCCTCCTGCCTGCATGACTGAGCTAAAAGAAGATAGATTCAAGGAAGTAACTGTTGCATGGATCATATACCCTTACTCAAGATGGGCAAATTCTGAAATGCTAGGGGGTGTTTTTTCAAAGTGACTTCTCAGAAAAAAAAAGTATAGAGACATAGACCGTTGGGGGAAATTGCTTTGAATATTAAAAAGGAATTAAGTAGTATTTTTAGTTTGTGGTGCTCAGATACAATGTAGTTCCACTTTAAAATTAACACGGCTATCAATGTCTGTTCTACATATTAATGAGATACTGTAGGCTCTACAAAAGTTGCTAGAATATTTCATACTGAAGCAAGGTTGGCAGGGAACCAGCTTGCTACCCTGTTGCATAATTAATTTTTATGGGTACAAGAGAAATTACTGTAAGTGTATCTACACCCAAAATTATATATTTTTTATAATATATATATATATATATATATATATATATATATATATAATCAAAATGCTGTATCTATTATTATATTAGATTATTGTATTAGTATATATATATTATATTTTAATTTATATTTTACATAAATTATTCATATACATATGTACTGTGTGTGTGTGTGTATATATATATATAATATTGGATTCAGGTGTTCCAATTACCTCCATGGCCACAGGTGTTTAAAATTAAGCACCTAGGCATGCAGACTGCTTCTACAAACATTTGTGAAAGAATGGATTGCTCTCAGGAGCTCAGTGAATTCAAGCGTGGTACCATGATAGGTTGCCATCTGTGCAGTAAGTCCATCTGTGACATTTCCTTTCTACGAAATATTCCATGGTCAACTGTTAGTAGTATTATAACAAAGTGGAAAGCGACTGGGAACAACAAAGTGGTAGGCCACGTAAAATGACAGAGCGGGGTCAACAGTGGGGTGAAACGCACAGAGCACAGAAGTCCACAACTAAGCATGCAAACTCAATAGCTAAAGATTTCAAACTTCATGTGGCCTTTTAGCTCAACAACACTGCGTAGGGAGGCTTCATGAATGGGTTTTCCATGGCCGTGTAGCTGCAACCAAGCCCTACATCATCTGCAAACTCAATAGCTAAAGATTTTCAAACTTCATGTGGCCTTCAGATTAGCTCAACAACACTGCGTAGGGAGCTTCATGGAATGGGTTTCCATTGCCGTGTAGCTGCATCCAAGCCCTACATCACTCCAAGTGCAATGCAAAGCGTCGGATGCAGTGGTGTAAAGCACTCTAGAGCAGTGGAGATGTGTTCATTGGAGTGACGAATCATGCTTCTCTGTATAGCAATCTGATGGATGTGTCTGGGTTTTTAGGCTGTTGCCAGGAGAACGGTACTTGACTGACTGCATTGTGCAAAGTGTAAAGTTTGTTGGAGGGGGGGATTATGGTGTGAGGTTATTTTTCAGGGGTTTGACTTGGCCCCTTAGTTCCAGTGAAGGAAACTCTTAAGGCATCAGCATACCAAGACATTTTGGACAATTTCATGCTCTCAACTTTGTGGGAACAGTTTGGGGATGGCCCCTTCCTGTTCCAACATGGCTGCACACCAGTGCACAAAGCAAGGTCCATAAAGACATGGATGAGAGAGTTTGTGGTGGAGGTACTTGACTGGCCTGCACTTGGTCCTGACTTCAACATTTGGGATGAATTAGAGTGGAGACTGCTAGCCAGGCCTTCTTGTCTGACATCAGTACCTAACCTCACAAATGCACTTCTGGAAGAATGTTCAAACATTCCCATAGACACACTCCTAAACCTTGTGGACAGCCTTCCCAGAAGAGAGCTGAAGCTGTTATAGCTGCAAAAAGCGGGCCAACTCAATATTGAAACTGAGAGACTGGGATGCCATTAAAGTTCATGTGCGTGTAAATTCAGGTGTCCCAATACTTTTGGCAATATAAAAAATATATATATATATATATATAATCTTTATTAGTAAAAAAAATCTGCTACTATAGATTTGGTATTAAACCATTGCCAGTATGAGATAATTAAATGCTTGAGAGGGTTCTAATCCACACCAACGTTTTTAAAACATAAAACTTGCCCTAGAGCATTAACACCATTGACTGCTATTAGTTGTAGAATCAGTGGTTAAACTAATGAAGAAACTCATGCAGCGTTTGGAATGATAGATTGATTTGTGTGCAACCAGCCTGCCCGTACTTTGATTGAAATTCAGCTGATTCCTTCTGAATAGGCTGAATTTTGATCCATGTTTGGTTGGCCTAAGAGTGGTGTTCTTGTTAAGCAGTGACCTCATGGAGGAAGCCAAGGCATGACAAAGGAGTTGCATCCCAAAACATGCTGCCTGGAAACTCACAAGTGGACAAAAGTAACTTCAGGATAGCGAGCAGAGAGCTGATTGGTGACATCAACTATTTATTGCTGTCTGCTTGCTCTTTTGAAGATATCTCCTCAATTCCTTTCTTTCTGATGGGTGTCAGAACAGGAAGTGAGGAGAAATGCCCAATGGGTACACAAGCAGCAATACAAGCCTTTTCTAGTGCAGTATGGAAGGATTCAAAGCACTGTCAGAAATTTATTGCTGTATACTGTATATCTGTATTTGAGCATCTATTATGGTGATCTGTTAATTACAGTGATGTTATTGTGTCCTCACAATGGAAATCCTTCCATTTCCACTCCAGGCTATGGATGTCACAGGTGGAGAAGAGAACTCTCCATGGGGACAGGCGGCATTTAAAATCTGACAGAATTATGTCCTTAACGTGGACAGCAATTTAATTTGACACAAGTTTTAACACTTCCCCACGCTGTCCAGAATGAGAGTACATGAGGTGTGGGCCTAAGATTGATGAGTAAACATTCTTTGGGGAGCTTTGTTCAAACCTAGCAACACAAATGGAGACAATCTTTCAGCTTTGTATTTCTAAGTGGAAATGAGTCACTTTTTCACATTGTAAATTCACACTTACAGTATGTTGTGCAGTCATTTTGTAGCTATTCCTGTATCCTCTAAAATGTTATTCTACAGAAAGTTCAAGAGCTGCTTTTTATTCAAACAACACACTTTGTGCATAGTTAAAGGAACCACAGAAGACCATCTTGCCGAAGGAATAATATCCAACAGCTGCATCTCCTTATTTAAAACTGCTTCCCACTGACCTGGCCCCACTGATGCGGCCTCTCAGCTGGTGGGCTTTAACACAGAGTGGCTGCATATATGCCTCCCTAGGTAAACGCCTTTCTGTGCTGGTAAGTATTGTGATGGACCGCCTGGCATCCTGCCTGGGTGCTTCTGTCAGAAATCTACTTCCCCACTGCTAGGACACAGGACCAAGGTATTATAGCTGGGCATTGCATTCAAGGACTAGACGACACTAGCTTAGGTGCAATTGGTACTTTTTATTGAACAGAAATACAGGTTTTTAAACACTTTAAAATTAGGGACAGTCCCCACATGAGCAATACAAACAAATATTACACATGGGGACAAACATCCCACACTGCTTAGATAATGAGGTAAAGTTGACACCAGACTAATTCTGTCATGTAGAAATCTCCAGGAGGACTAACCAAACAATAGACGACTCAATTAACAATGGGACAAAGACACAGTAAACATATAACACCTTAATAAACAGATTACATCCAGAGACCTCAGAATCAGGTTGTTTTGAGTTGATTATATTAACGTCTGATCTAAATCTCTGAGTCTAGAGGGGGGTTGAAGCAGTCAATCCTGGTTTGGGCACAGAAACCCCAAATCTGTATCCTGGTCCTCCAGCTCTCAGACTCTGTGTCTTTCAGGGAGACATGGACTACTCCAAAGGTCTCCCCAGGCACATACCTCCCAAAGAATAGAGCCCCCTTAAATTCCAGGGCCCATAGTCAGTAGGCAAAAGGCTAGCCTGCAGTCCCCTGAAAAAGTCCCTGTCTCGGTTGGGTCTATCACATGTATATGCCAATTTTTGCTGTATTTAAACTACAAGTCATAACCATAAGCACTTTACCACTTCCACGAGGGGTCATATGCATTCCTTTTATTCCAATCCTTGACTTAACCCTTGTAATTGGGTCAGATGCCAATCATTACTCAATCATGGCCTAAAAACAAAACCTCAGTACGCATAGAAGCACCAGAACCTGAGTTATAATATTAGATATAATTCCACACAAATGTCCTGTATGTCAATCCTGTACCATGCAATATACTGACTGTGATAAGGACATGTATCACCATTGTGACCAGTTGCTTATTTTTAAAGTCAATATACAGCCCGACAATGGATGTCTTTTATTTGCCCTATTATGGTCTGTTAAATATATCAATGAAAGTGTTTTCTTTTCCACAATTGCAAACAAAATGTATTGATCCTGCCATAAATCCATTATTCCCACAACTTCTGTTCACTTTGCATGTGCTGCCCTGTTAGCATGTTAATAGCCCTGCCCAGTCTTTTTTGTGTGTCTATGTCACAGAGAAGAGAAGAGGGCGAGGTGGTTTATGGTACTAAGGCAGGTGATACATTATGCAATTTCCTTTCCTTCAACACAGGTTGAGGAAAAGAAAATAGCTTGTTTCCCCCATTAACACAGTGTTGATGGGGGAATCCCTCCCGCCACACTTTTGTATTCTGACAGCGAGAGGTTTCCCAGGCATCAGAATACAATGATCACTGCTGGAAGATGTAGCCACCGGCAATGATCAAACGCTAAAAAACCCAACAGGCTGGTTGTATTGAAGTTGATCAATAGATCAACTTCAGTACAGCCAGCCTGCCCATAGGTGGATCGAAATGTATCTAGTTCTTGCTGAACCAGCCGAATTCTGATCCGTCTATGGCTGACTGTACACATTTTCTATCCTAGGGTGGCAAATCTGCTCTATAGATGGTCACCCAGATCGAAATCCTTTCTCATGGCAAGAAGGCTGAACAACTGGATCATTGATTATGTTGCTGCTTGATATGACTACAACAGAATAACTGAAGTATGTTTTTCTTTTGCCAGTCCAGCAAATCTGTGTACATATTATGGTCTTTCACTATGTAAAATATATTGATGCTGGTGCCAGGAATACTTCTTACGTTAAATGTTTTAATTCAAATTGATCACGGATCCTGAAGTTGCACATGAACTAGTCTAGTAACATTGTAGATGGCAGGTATGAAACAGGCTAGGCCTGAATTTGGAATTCTGCAATTCCCCCAAAAAATGTTGGATCTTTTTATGTGGTAGCAGTCAATGCTTTTAAGTTTACATGATACAGAAACATTTGCCTATAAGCATGTCTAACATCTCCTTCCTGTCTACACAATGTTTGTCACCCTGCCAATATTGTTGCGTCAGGCAATTTTTTTATGAACATGGTAATAGGATGACAGCCGTAGTTTTGGTTTCTGTTGACTTAATAATCTGCATTTGATCATTTGTCTTCTAATTTAATGTCAGCAGTGCATGTTTTTCTGTTTTTATGTCAGAACAGTTATGCTTTGAATTTCATTATGCATGTTACACGCTAAAAGGCCTTATTCACACTGGACCTCCTGTGTTTAGCTTTTCTAAATGCAGGAGAAATTATCTGGGAAGTATAAGGCTCCTTATACACAGGGCTGTCTAGCTGCAGTGCATCCGTCCTGGAATTTTAGTGTGCTTGGAAGGGACAGTTGAAAATATTCCTTTCACATATGTTTTTGAAAAAGGTGTGAAATTAACAGGTGCTGCAGCAAATGACAGCTGGAAATTGGTACTACAAACTAAAGTATATATCACCAGCACAGCAAGGCTCATTTAAATAATGTTCAAAATGTTGTCAAGGGGTTCTGCATGGCCTTGAAACGTTGCATTTTACCACTGTGATGTAATCAAAGAATGCAAACATTTGGACATTATTTGGTGTTCTGCCGATATACAACGACCAGTATACTTTGGCTTAAGGTGCACCATCTAGCCCTGTTGACTGCAGACTGTCAAAATCAATGGCAGGCTGTAACTAGACAGGGCTGAATGGTGAACTGACTGGTACCCTTGTTTAGGGCCTTGTGTATTCAGGGAGGAATGTCCGGAAGGCAGAAGTCCTCCCATGTGCAAGGGGCCTAAAGTTTGTGGTATTACTATTCCCTCTGCATCATATTGATGTCAGAGGCAACCTGGCAACTAGTATTTCAAGAAGGATGTCAGCAATGGTAGCCTACATATTTCTCGAGGA